TGGGCCATCGCGGTCAACGAATACGTAAGCGAGCAAACACAAAAAAAAGCACGTGACAACTAACACTGTATTATCTCAAAAATTGCCTTATATGTATGTCGTTCGTACCTGCCGTCGGCTAACTAAAACGCGGTTATGTGCCAAATATTTTCTGGGATATCATAAAAACCATAACCCAATTTTAGAATATTGAAATTCTTTAATGATACTTCAGTTGTGCATTAATAGGGTAAGTTCCGATAAGTCGATCACGTTAACTAATTATAATTGTTTTTAAAAGAGAATTTTGTGTTCTATGTTTTTCTATTTAAAATGGATATTTGACCATTTGTCACTAAGCCGCGTTTTGGTTAGTAGACGGCAGATATCTAATGTCAATACATTTTAGAGATACTAGGTGTACTTGTAGATACTTTCTAGGGGTCTTCAGAAATTATTTTTAGGGGTACCCAAGTACACATTTTTAGCGAGTCCGAATAAGCAATTATTGGTGCTCACCAAGAACATTTTGTTGAGAACGAAATAACACTTTTATATTGAGATTCAAATAATTTTTTATTATAATCTCAGTACAGAGTACTAAAAAAATCAATATCAAAAATCATTCATCCTCTAGTTTGCCACCCTTAGAGGTGGAATATTTTCTTCAGATTCATATGGGACCACTGCTGAGGTACCCTCTTTCCAACAAAAAAATAATTATAAAAATCGTTTCACAAATGGAGTTCTCACGTAAACAGTCGAATTGAGAACCGCCTCCTTTTTTTTGAAGTCAGTTACAAAGAATATTTTACAATTACGATTATTGAATGTCAGAATGTTTCACTATCATGATATTAAATTATTCTTGAGAAATTACTCCAGTAATTTGTTATAATTAATAATAATAGCACAACGAATGAACACTTAGAAAAAATTCCTTCGATCGGGCTGGATTCGAACCAACGTATTCTATCAAACCGTGCCAGATTCTACAAGTCAACAAATTAATTTAATAAATTAGTCGATTCTACAGTTTCAGCTTCAAATTCTACCGATTTTCGGTACCTCGGTTCGTTAATACAGAACGACGGCGAGATAGACCGGGACTTTAAGAACAGAATAAGTGCAGGATGGATGAGATGACGACAGGTCACAGGCACTATTTGCAATCGGCGAATGCCCCTTAAGCTAAAGGGGAAAATATACAAGACCGTGATTAGACCTGTCATGTTGTAAGGATCAGAATGTTGGGCAATGAAAAGGGAGGATGAACGAACTGTGCGTGTAGCGGAAATGCGAATGTGTGGAGTGACGTGAAAGGATAAGATAAGGAATGAGTACAACAGGGGAAGTTTGAAAGTGGCGCCAGTGACGGAAAAGATGAGGAATAATAGGTTAGCGTGGTGTGTCATGCGGAGGGAAGAATGTCATCTGACGAGAAGGTATAGGTATGAATGTGGAGGGATATAAGAGGAAAGGAAGGCCAAAGAAAAGATGGACGGATTGTGTGAAATATGACATTGATAAGAAAGGTGTGAGTATAAAAATGACGGCTGATAGGGGATAATGGAAGAACAATACATACTGTGCCGACTCCACCTTGCGTGGGATAATGACAGGAAGAAGAAGAGTCGATTCTACAGTTAGATATACCTTACGTATTACAAGGTTAAAAGTCACTGCATTACCTTCGGCACGTAGGAAAGCCATCGGACACAAGTCCGAACTGCTTCAAGGTCCGACGGCGCTACTGCGTGGGAGACGCCATTGTTGTGCATGATCTGCACTCCGCCAAGTTGATTGTTGCTGGCGTACACGGCGCGACCGAGAACTTTGTTCAGCGCTGCGTAGCCCGTCAGGATAATGTACGAGGACTCCACTTGAATGACGCGGTGACCGAGACTGGAGACAAAGAAATAAAGTCAAAGTGAAATAATTTTATATGACCGTAAAAATATTCATAATATCAAAAAGAAAGAAGATATCCATAATATTAACCTTAGAGCTACGTCCAAACTCATGATACCACGATTTCGTTTAACCAAAGTAAACGCCTCTTTTATGAGGAATGGTATACGTTTTTACGATAAGATTCCGGAGAATATATTACGATTATCAATTCCTAAGTTTAAAATCTAAGTCATATTACAAAATTGACGACTACGTGTTAGATACAGAATCCACACAAATTTGATTCAAAGTGTATTCCATAGCATTTAAGTTTATTTGAAAAGGGCAGTCCCTAGAGTTTCTTGCACGTTCTTCTCAGGGAAGTCAGCGTAGTGAACGAGCAGTAGCTTAAATGTGACGTTTTCAAGTGTAAATTTATTTTACTTATGGAATAAATGATATTTTGACCGACCCGAAAATCGAACCCGGGACCTCAGCATGGCAGTCCAGCATGGTAACCGTTCGGCCACGGAGGTAGTAAATGATTAAATAAATAGTAAAATAAATTTTTCTTGTACTACCTGACTCTTTTTAGATCTGTATTTGGTATAAGTAATAATTAAAGATGTGTATATGTTTTCGTTACCGGTTATTTATTAATATGAAATCTCTTATAGTATACTAAGTGCCGTTAAATAAACCCACACGTCGCCCCACTATATTTTTTTTATGAAAGTCTAATGTGATATAGTAGTTTATGTGACTGTTACATAATGAAAGGCATTAAAATACGAGTAAGGATCTCATCTCTTCATCTCACGAGCATTCTAATGCCTAATTATGTACAGTTACATGCACTGCTTTATCTACACACATATTATAAGCTCTCTGTGATGTGATCAGAAACCGCATGTTACGACTGGCGAAATGGCGGCAAATAAAAACTTTTCTCACGCATGTCACAACCGTAGTTTTTATTATTAATTCATAGACAAACTAGAATCGGCCCCAACTATCATATCGTTCGACATCAAATAACGTGTGAAATTGTCAAAATCATTCGCTATTGACATTTCATTTCGAATAAAACTTCATCTCGACTGATATTAGAATTGAGGTCCAATTAAATTGTTTTGTTTTTCAGAGATGTTCGAAATTTGAATGTAATAATATTTTTTTTTTTTTTATAAAGGCTTTGGCAAAGCCATCAGCCTAAACTTGAAGTTTAATTATGTTTCTGTAAATATGGCCGCCACAATGAGTATAGGCAATTTGAGGCGGCGTGCTTGATTGACTCGGGATTCCTTAAAACGGGCCGATACGGGTATTTTAGTTCGAGATTCGTATAATTTCGCGTTTTAATCTTCGATTAAGGCACAATAGCACTATCCTATTCCACTTTAAACTAGATTTCACAAAATAATTGAAAGTCAAAATAAAAACGACACTTTTCCCTCCAAAATATCCAGAGCGAATCATGTAATAATAAAATCGAATTCGATGCTATTATTATAAAGCAATAATAACATTGTCACAGAAAAGAAATTTGTTCTAACAAAACAGTTTACCTTTATGCTGGTCGTAATTTGCGATTTTTGAACACATTATAGAGAGTTTATGATATGTGTGTAGATGAAATTATTAAAAGCATGGAACAAAAGTTGTTGCTTATGATGTTAACATCGAGTATATAACCAGAAATAGAGACGAAATGTAATTAAATTTGTTTGAAAACTATTCTAACTAATCATTACGGTGAGAACTGCGCTCCCATTGGCTAGCCCGAGTTCGAAATAATTGACGGGTGTCGTCAATTGTTTCACTTCAAATCGACCAATTTAACTTGAGCTTTGCTATAATGGACGAAAATTGAAAAATTACATATTTAATTACCGATGAAATGTGATTCAGTTTGTTTTCTAATTAGATGTTTTGCTGTTTTTCCCACACCACCGAAAGGAACATCCCCCCATTGTTACAGATATTGTCTTCATTACAATAAGTACAGAATATTTTTGGAATATACGGAAACGTATAGACAAGTCAGTTGTTGGCGCTGTACTATTTCAGCTTTCAAATTTGTGATTTCAGCGCAAACGAGAGTTGATATTCAAAAGTGATATAAGGCCCATTTGCCTGATGAGTTGCCAATGATGGATGAAATAAGGGTCGTCTCCATTTCTGGTTATATACTCGATGGATGTTAATAATATAATCCTGCGAGATTGTTTATATTTTACAATTAACCCTGTATAAGTTTACTCACCGCACAACGTAAGAACCAATTCCAATAGCGCGGCATGTGACGATAGAAATTGTCACGATATCTTCATAGGCCTGCGCCGTTTCGCCCGCGATGAGGCCTGCGTCGCGTAGGCACTCTACACCGAGGCCATCTTCTTTGCCTGTCAAAGAATAAATAGGTTTATTAAAACTTTTTTGTACTCTTGTACTTTAAACTATCAATAATAATTTCAAAAACAATATTATTAAACGCGGTCTTTTCTTTCTTTCTTTTGTTTCTTCAAAGCTTACAACCAATCATTTTAGTCGAACGGCCTGTGAGTTAAGTATACGAAACGAGCTTACAACGCCTGATGCGTTCAATATAATAGCGCTTTCAGGATGCAGTTTGGACTACCAAGATGGTACAGTGCATCAGGCATGTTCGCCCAGGGGCACGTAGACGGCTTCCCAGCGACAATGCGGAAGAAAATAGTATCGCTTATGACTCGTGTCAAAAGTAGCCACAACAGCATCCTAAAAATTCTCAATTCCAATTCAAGTCTAATTCTAAAATACTGGGTTGGGCAAATGGAATCTGTTTTTATACATATAATAGTTTGATACAAGTGCGGAAAGTTAGTCGTTATTCACGAGTCTCGAGACAAGTGAAAATGACAAATCCGCACGTGTATCAAACGACGTTTTTTAATACATTTGCGAAAAAACTACATTGAAAGTAAAATAAAACAGTATTTAAAAAAACTCATTTTATTCCTTTGTCTGATAAAAATTCAGAGTACAATATAATATCAGCCATATTAGTATTACGTCTCGCGTAATACTCACCTCCGGTCATTGTTAACACTCAATCAGCCATCTCTATGGAAAATACTTTGGTATTTTTAAATGTAACCCGTTGTTTTATAAAACACCTATGCAATTTAAACAAATAAAATGTTTGTAAGTAAATATAACTTTTAATGACGAATGACTTACGTAACAAAGCATATAAATATTAAATAAATATACAACCTCTTTAGTTCTACGCTTCAGACTTGAAACAACAGTAAATAAAAAAATGGAAAAGTAAAAAGCACTAGTGCGAAAAATCCAACTTTCGGCAAGATTTGTAGTACGAAAAATACCACGTTTTGAGCAACTGTATTAAAAAAATAATATTATGTTATGTTGTGTCGTTGTGTTCTTGTATAACCTATTCTAAGTGAAAATTGTTACTAACAAATTATATGGGTAATTTCTGCCTGAAATAAAAGAATGATATTCTTTAGTTCTGAATCAAAATTCTATTGTCTATGGTACTCGCCACGGAGCTGAAAAATTTTTTTAAAGTTTTGTAGGTCTAAAAAGGCTGCAGTGGCAGAATCATAATATGATTAATTGACATTTCATATTATGAACTTTCAAACAAAACAAAAAACGCACTTCATCTATTTGACATTAATGTACGGAGGTCTCCATACAACACTGTCAAATAGATGAATTGCGTTATATCAATGTAAGAAATTCATAATGTGAATTGTCAATTAATCATATTATTATTCTGCCAATACCATTGACTTACCAATAAATGGACGTCGGGTTCGCGGTAAAAGTGTCCGCACCTTTAGGGCGTTAAAATCGCATACAGAGCGTCAATCGCGCAATTGTCTTCGTTTGTTTGAGTGACAGTGCGGTTGTCAATCATGCAGTACCAATAATAATAACTTTTAAAAATTACTGCAGTAAAGTGTGAAAACAGGATTTTGTATCATATTTTCACTAAACAAATATATTGTGTTATCATAGTTGTTATTTAAAAGTGTTATTTTGTACAGTTTTATGGTATTTAATTTATATATAACTGAATCATAAATATAAATTACAAAAGCACACGAAATAATGAAATAGCTAACTGTCCTTTTTCTACTCACTGCATGCGCAAAAGATGGAAAGAGACCCATTACGCCAGTTTCAAGGAGCTTATATAAACTTCTTGGTCATTTTCAATTGTTCGAACCACAAGCGATTGAAATATTTAGAACAAAGAAACTGTGTCTTTGATTTTAATCCTATTTTTAAAATGAAATTTTTACTAAACGTTAGCAATAACTAACAAAATATTGTTATACTCATTTTATGGCATGGGATTACCTATCAGAAGTCAGAAATGTTTTAGTTTTTTATATTTCGTTACATGTGACTACGTTTGTATAGGTTAACCTCGGACATTTTTTTCGTGGTTTTTGTGTCCCGATGTCCATTTGTTGGTAGGTCAATGGCCAATACGCCCTTTTTAACCCTGCTGTAAAACAGAACTATGAACGTCAAAGAAGAACGACGTAATTTTGCTTAATAAAATATAAATTAGGACGCTACTCAAACGATATACTGCCTCTTGATTGGAATTGAACTAAAAGTCTCGCAACCGGGCCACAAATCGTTATAAAAAAATATTGGTTAAAATATATTCATATATCACTGTTCCAAAACATCGAGAAAATAATGTCATAACGTGGTAAACAACCCTAATTACCTTATCATTAATAATAACGCAAACATTCATAGCCCTGCTCGAGGGAAATCTGTATCGCGGGTGCCATGGACAATCACAAATTAAACAAAAACACACAAGGGAAATAAATGTAAGCCAATATTTCTCCAGGCCCAGGAATCGAACATGGGACCTCAGCGTTGCAGATCAGCACGGTAACCGTTTGGCCGTGGAGATATTAGTAATGCTTCTAATAGATCTCACTACACGTCAAAACAGCGCCATCTATTAGCGCAGTATCGAACTATATAGTCGAGACTTGTCATTAAATTGTTCAAAGAAAACTGTATCACAGCATTTCTTTTTTATTTTATTTTTAAAATTTTTTGAATGTCATAATGTTTTACTACCATGGATATTCAATTATTTGAAATTACTCCATTAGTTTGTAATAATTATCAATAAAAAAGATCGAATACATAGGAAAGTGCATTCGATCCGGCTGGATTCGAACCAGAACCCTCAGGTAATCCGTGACAGATGCTCTGCCAATTAAGCCAGGGAAAAAACCAAAAAAGAACATTGTTTTTTTGTTTTTACGACTTTTTAGCCGTAGCGCCATCTGTGAGAAATTATTTCTTCACTCAGAGAAATGTATTAAAAAATACCTTTGTCACGAAATCTTACCAATGATGTCTGTAATCCGGTATCTGGACTCCCCTTCGTCCTCAATAAGTTGAGTCTTGACGGACCCAAGCGGCCCCAACTTGGAGAAGGATGCAGGCGTGAGGTACAAGTACTTGAACCCTCTCTCGGGTCGTTCCGAGTCGAGCCAGGCCACGTTGAACTCTGATTTCACTTCTTCCGCTACCCCTATACGTGCGCCGGAATTCACACTTATGTATACCTGAAAAGGTGTATTGTATTGTTACAAGCTGATACATCAGCGTGAATGTTTACGTAACACAGTCGTATCGACCCTTAATAAGAGCTTACAAAATTACTTAAAACCACACAAAACTCATAAAATCTTTTAAAGCGCCATCTGTTACTTAAGTGTTGAACTATGTCGCAGAATGCCATCAAATATATAACCAGAAATAGAGACGAAATAAGGCCATATATTCCTGGTAACACATTAGCGATACAGCTTTTATAAATATCAACTCTCGTTTGCACTGAAATATAGACAGGCCAACTACTGACCTGTGTGTACGTCTCCGAATGTTCCAAAAAATATTTTGTATTTATTGTAATAAAGATAATATCTCTAACAATACCGTGCTGTTCTATTCGGTGGTGTGTGAAAAACAGCAAAACAAACGTCACAACAAAAAACACATTTCATCGGTAATTAAATATTAAATATGTAATTTTGCAATTTTCGTCCATTATAGCAAAGCTCAAGTTAACTGGTCGATTTGCAGTGGAACAGTTGACGACATCCATTGACGACACCCGTCAATTGTTTCGAACTCGGGCTAGCCAATCGGAGCGCAGTTGTCACAGTGATGATAGTTTTCAAACAAATTAAATGACATTTCGTCTCTATTTCTGGTTATACTCTCGATGGCCGTAATTAAAACATTAAATAGGATTACGATTTTAATAGCAGTAGAGCTCCTTGTGAAAGGGTTCGTCCAAAGAAGTACCTACTGCTACCCCATCAATTTCTGCGGCTAAGCAGTTATGTGAGCACTACTGCGTTCCTGTTTAGAAGGGTCAGGGTCACTTGTTATTGTGTTATGTAGATAAATTATCCCTCATTGCATTGACTTACAAATAAAAGGACGACGGGTCTAATACAAAAACCACGAAAAAAATGTCCCAAGTCAACCTATTTAAACGTAGTGACATGTAAAGGAATATGAAAAAGCTAAAACGTTGAATTTAAATTGTTATGTCATCGCAGTATTGTCTAATTTTGCTTGCTTCGCCGTCGGTCGAACAAACGAAGACTAAAGCGTGAATGACGCTCTGTATACGATTTTAACGCCCTATAAGTTCGGGCACTTTTTAGCGCGGACCCGACGTCCATATAATTGTAAGTCAATGCCTCATTGCTAAAGATTAGAGGTTTTTTATGGTAGTCGTGCGCCTGGTGATAAGTGTCACGCCTGTCCATGACAGTTGCAGTGCCGCTCAAAGGGCATTGTCACTGCTCCCGTCGCCCTGAGACATAAGTTGAAAAGTCCCATGTATCTTTAATTTCACCAGCACCCTTACCCTTCAAAACAGGAACACAGATGGGACTTGTCAAGTTATGTTTCAGGGTGAGGGGCGCAGTGGCTGTGCCCCTTAGATCTATTTCTTGAGGGAAGTCAGCACAGTGAAAGAGCAGTAGCTTAAAAAAATGACGTTTTCAAGTGTTAACTTATTTTGCCTAAGGAATAAATGATTGACTTTGGCTTTTAACTCGTTTCGTCTAAGCAGAGGGTATAAGCCACAGTTTCCCAAAGTGGTCCCTACGGCGGTGGTAGGGGCTTTGGAAGCAATTGGGGGGCTTTGATGCCGTCCAGAGCATGGTATCCCATTTGAAAAAAAAACTCGAAATATCTGTATAAACTACACTATAAATATATAATTTTTGTTCCTTGTGATTTTTAGTGTTCAGTTAATATACAAAATACGTATTGTCAATTATTTTTTGTGGTGGTGGGCATCAGAAAAGAAATTGAAAAACTATATCAATAATGCGCTGTTAAGTAAGAGCTAGTACAGTGTTACTGATCATATTCAGGATAAAGATGCTTGGAATTCATCTCCAGCGGACACTTGACGTACCTATTTAACACTTACATAGTAGTAATGCTAATGACAATGTCTAAGTGTAAAATTATTTTATTTAATTTTTATTTCATTTATTTTTTTAACAAAAACAATGAGTGACTGTTGTTATCTTTCCAATCAATATGACGATTTGAAGTGTATATTGTTTAGTTTGAGACGACGATTGACCGGTATTGGCCGTCTGCGCCCACAGCATCATGAGATCGTTCATTTGCAAAAAAAACCTGAATAATCTATATGAACTGCACTACAAATATATAACTTTTGTTCCTTGTGATTTTTTATGTTCAGTTAATATACAAAATACGTGCTTTCAGTTATTTTTTGTGGTGGAGGGCGTTGAAATTTTTTTATCTTGCCTAAGTGGGGAGGAGAGCCAAATAGTCTGAGAACCTATGGTATAAGCGATGCGAGTTGCATAATAAGTTCCACTTTCGCTTCACAGTATTGCACAGGGTGTCACAAAAACTTACCCTGGGTATCTTGAGCTCCCTGGCGTACTGCGACGCCCTGCAGTAGACCCAGTCCTCCTGTGGCCCGAACGAACCCATGTAGTACGTCAAGTCGTTCGCTATGACCACGATGTCGCGGCCTTTAGGGCACTCGGGTGTGAACAGGGTAATGCGCCACGCGACCATGCCCACCTGTACAGGGAAATTTATTTATAGAAGTATACAACATAATGTACCATTAATTCAACTCCCTACAACGTCTTTCGCCCTCACTCGCACCATGAAATTACAGGAAATCATGAAATTATGAGTCATAAGATTTTAGTCCGAAAATAGTCATAATACCTATATAATTATAGAGAATCATATAATTATCAGTCATCGGAATTGGGTAAGTTAATTTACCTAAAGTATGAACGTTTTCTTAGTATGGACATATCCTTTTCTTTATCAATGCGTATAAAGTTTCCATTGTATTAGAAAATATTACAAAAAAATTAAATTCTCTATTTTTCTTTTTACTTGGTCGAAGCCACTTTATTTTTGTTAATTGTAAATTGTTGGCTTCACTGAAAATCAGCGTAAGGAGATGTTTCCCTACGTCTCGTTACAAATAAGCTAAGTGGAGACCTTTTTGGTACCATCTTAAATATAATACTGTTTTATTTTAAGTAAATGTTATAATAATGTTATTTTAATTTTTGTTTTTACGTTCTATTTGTATTATGGTTACCAAATAAACTATTTTTCTTTCTTTCTTTCTTTCTTTTATTTTTAAATAGCTAAAGTATTTAAATATGTACCAATATAAACGTAACTACTATATTAATGTTTGAGACAATAATTTGTAGCAAATACATAAATAGGAAATAATAATTTGTCGCCAATCTACTCAAATTTCAATAAATAATACACGTATTCAAATATAACCAGTACCGAGAGGTCCTGGGATTTGCAGAAGGGAATGTTCACATTATTCTTTACTTAACTTAACTCCCTCAATTCCAATCACTGATAATTATAGAATCATAACATTATAGTCATAAAACTAGGCATGAAATTACAGGCAATTCTAGAATTTGCAAGGTATAATGAAAGTGTATGCTGAAAAGAATCCTGACATAGGCAACTTACAGTGTTCTGTCCTGGCAGCCTGGTCACCTCCATGATGCGTCTCTCACCGTCAGGTTCCACCACTAGTTCAACTGCATGCATCACGTTGTCAGGAGGGGGACCTGGTTAAACAGATTATAGCATTACAATTGACTTCACGTACTACTACCCAGGAGTACGTGAGTCCCTTACATTGAATCTAGCATCCTGTATTGACTGCTGGTTAAGGTGCCGAGTAAATGAGACTATCGGAGCAAACATTGTGGCAAAGAAGTTTCCGGTGCGGGGGAAGTCGACGCTCGCTCACAATAACTGTTCAAATGATGTGATTGAATGTGTATCCATTACTGTATTTTAATTTATTTAAAGAACTTATTTTCGCGACGAAGTTATAAAAATAACGAAAACACAGAAAAGAATTACCAAAACACTTTAGATTATTTTACCGGCATTTTTCTTTTAAATTAAGCAATACAAGTAGGAATTTTTAATTCTTACAAGTAGAACACTTGGCAGTTGGCTGTATGCATTGACTTACAATTATATGGACGTCGGGTCCGCGCTAAAAAG